GTTTAAGCAAACTCAGGGGAAAGAGTTTGTGGTGATTTGCATGAATACTGGTGCTAAAATGTGGAAAAAGCCTTCCATAACTCACTTTACACAACTCAATATGAAAGTGTTACCAGGTCCAATCTAGTGAGATTGTCATCACAACTTTTACATAAAAGTGATCAGCATGCTCATGTCCGAAAGGAACTACAAACCGGAAATAGTGGAATGTGGTCTTACCGAGTATTAACCAATAATATATTTCCAGGAATCAGTTTAGTTTGAATCATATGAAACAATGTATAAAAATATTCATCAAAACAGCCAGCACTTAATGCAAAATATAACTAAATACAGGCCAAAGAACAGGCTAGCCTACAGCCAGGTAAAGATATTTGTGGTATGTTGAACTTATACACACACACAGGCAAACAAATCCTTCAGTTTTAAACATGTAGCATAATGCTGGCATGTAAATCATTGGTAACCCCTCTTGTTCTAAAACTACCTCTGTATCAACGCACGACTTTTTGACAATGCCACAAATCTGCAAATAAAAGGGAGTGGAAACCGAGAAACAGCCCGTGTTCAAAGAGTTACCAGAACATCCTGGTTACGCCAATTTAGTGAAGGCTTCAGTCGGCTCTGTGGTGGTTTATTTGTTCAAAGAGAGATGCAAATACACGGAGCCGAGAGAAACATTCTGCAGCGTGGTACGGGCCACAAGAAAAACTCTTCAAGTTCTCAGGCTTGTTTCTCCACTTACTGGTGGAAATTTCACATAAATCCCCTAAAATGCAATGGAACATATCTGCTAGTGGCCTTTAAAGTGGATTTTCCATACACCAAGTGAGAAGTTTTTGACTTTTGATTTTTTTTAATGCTTGTTAAATGAGCTAGGTTTCAATAAGCCAGGAAAGTACAAATCTAACAGTAACATTTATCCGATTTGACGAGGAAATCATGCCAATAGAAAAGCAACACATAGAAGAACCAGTTTAAATGCAGCGGCTATTAAACGTTGTAGCCTTGAGATTATGTAATTTCATTAAAAACTCAGGCTGCCCCCTAACAGTTCATGAAACGTAAATCAATGAGAAGAGTTTTAGTTGAACACATTTTAATTGGTTGATCAGTTAAAGGAAAAAAAAAAAACTCAAACTCCACAGTCAGTTACAGACATCATGGTGTACAGAGCTGGTCTCTACAGTTATTAAGCAGAAATTTCACACATCGAGCAGCAAAACCAAAGTGTGGGATCACTGACAGGGTGAAGGAGAACAATGTAAAGAGGACATGCAAACTCTGTGGGAAACATTCACCGATCATTCATCAAACTCAAACATAGCTTTTTATTTGAATCATCTACGCAGCCTAATGTTGGTCACTTAGCATGAAAATTCCCTCTGATGCTTTAGAGCCTAGACAAATATGTGCTATTAGACTTAAAGGTGGAGTTTGCTATTCTAAAGAATAAAAGATATTTAGCTGATTAATATGTGGCAGATCTAGATCCTCTTTCAAATGCCTCCTTCAACAAAATGCGAAGACAATCTCCTTGTTCGTTTACCTGACACATTCAGAATGTTTGCCGCTTTTGTTGGCATCAGAGCGGCTCACTATGTGTGTACACTTGGAAAATGCATCTTTTAAAAGCTTGATATTAGCAGCAGTTTTGTATTTTTATGTATAGCAGCAGAGTATTTACAACGTTACCTAAAATATTCTTTCTTCTGGGCCCTCGAACTCAATTAGCTTTCTGATGCAATTAATATTATAAATAAGCGATGACTAATCAACTAATGACCTTAACTACTGATTATTAGTTGGATAGGAAAATCTTTGACCGGGAGCAGCCTTATTAAAAACATACCTAATAAAACCCCCACAGACGTACTGTGACATTTCTATGGAGAATGCCCCATGAGCCATCTCTTCAAGTCAATGAGACATCATCCTCATCTGCTGTCTGGTCCAAACATCCATGTGCACCCCAAAATTTGTGTCCGCACAAGCACCAGGAAAACAAAACGAATGCTTGTTTGGAGGAAACGCTGTGCAAGGAGATTCCCTGTTATCCACACCTTTATAATTCATCATCGCCAGACTTTGGAGGATGGTAGTGTTCAAACGCAGTGGGAAGTTCCAAATCCTCCAGAAATCCTGTGCGACGTCCGCCCACTGCGCTCGGGGCAGGAAGACAACAAACTCAGGCAATACACAGAAGACCTCAGGAGCATTTACTGACACGGTACGGCAGCCAGTCTGTAAGTAGCTGCTATACTCTGCTGCTATGTTCTGTTCAAAGCACAAGGTCACAAAGTGTGTGTTCGATACGAGGGACAATGCAACATGTCGAAACAATGCATACCAACGCAAAGTCTACATCAATCAGTGCACGCAGGTGTGGAAACCACTTTAATGAAGAGTTTAACTTCAAGAGAGCCGTGCCAAACTTCACTCAGAAATATGGCGATTTAATGCTGCCTTGCTTAAAGTCTTTGCTCAAGACAACTTCACTCCTCAGTCTTTGGCTTGAATTAGAAAGACAGGCAGAAAGGAGGAGTGAAGACAGGGAGGGCGGTGGAGAGGAAAAGATGAAAGGATACACTCCTCTTCGTCAGGAAGAGGTGGGATTGGAGGGAGGGGAAAGGAGAAGAAAGAATAAAAGAGAAGATAGTTGGGTGATTGTAAAGGTCCACCATTTTAGAGTAGCAGTGAATGGCCGGCAGCCATTATTATGCTAAATTAACCTGGGAGCTCCAGGCCGCCACTCAAGATGGAGGAAAGCCTGACAACAGATAAGAGCTCGTTTACCAACACACACACACAACACACACACACACGCGCATACACACTCGCATTCAAAGGGGGGGGGGGGGCTAGGAACAGACTCCCCCACCCCCACATTTCCTCTGCCCTCGTGCACACACACACATACACACAGAGTTGTGGCTGTGGAGTGGTCAGCAGCATGGCCTTCATTATCATTAGACGCCATTTTCTGCCACAAAGATTACTAAAGACCCCTCCCCCAGCACATGCATGCACACACAAAACACCAGCCCCCCCCACCCACCTCAGTTCTCCACCCCCAGACTCTATTCCAGTGGCCGGTGCATGCATACGCACACACACCTCCCCCAGCGCTGACCCCTGCCTGCTGCTTTGGCCCTCCCTCTTCCTTGGGATAAAAGGGGCCGAGAGGAAAGGGAGAGACGGGGAGAGACTGAGGGACAGAGGGGGAGAGAGAGATGGGGGCCGTCCTGACACATTCCTCAGTCCGATCAAGTTTCCACCTTCACAATGAAACCACCGCTGAGTCTCTCATACACAAATGCCCTCGGCGCTCTGATCTGACAGATTGCGAGGAACAAAGTGAGAAAAGCATCGACATCAGGAGAAGCTGCAAATGTTAGAAAACAGCGAGACCTGAGCAAGCGCTGCAGACAAAAAGCTAAAAGAGAGATATATGATAAAGCCAGAGAGGAAGAGTGTGAGAAGGCAGGGATAAGACCAGAAAGCACAGTGTAAACAAAGTGAAGTGAAGGTGATATCGACAAACACTGATAAGTACTAGAGCATAGATTAAACTAGTCTATATTCTGCTCAGGAAGTTGAAGCACATGTCATCGCTCTCCTTGCATAGCCACATGCAGAAAATGGAACATAAATAAGTAACACATACAATAAGTGGAAGAAAATGTGTTTAACAGTAAGATGTAAAAGAATAATGTATGCAATGTTATCATAAGAACAACCAAAACAACTATGATTCTATTCTATTGACGAGTATGGGATGTAAATTCAAAGAATGGCGATATCTTATTGCTACTTAAAGCTCTATTGTTCAAAACACACCAGTGAGCCACACTGTTGCACGGTGTTCATTTATTACCATGAACACACACTGCAGCTTATTTTGAGCCTTTATTGTATGCCACCTCCTCACATTTCTTGCCTTTTCTCTACAGCAAAGTTTCAAATAAATGCAAAACTGCTCAGACAACTGGTCATAGAAAAGAAAAGAATCATATGGCATACAAGTTGAAATGCAGACCGCTTTGACCTTCAGGTTCGACCCTAAAACTCTCAATAAGTAGTCAAATAGGCAGCAATCCATTGACACAATGATACACATTAGACTGCACAGTAGGTAAAGTACCTGAGACCTGAACCTACACCCTCCTGCTCGGAGAAATCCTCACTAGAATCACTAGAAAATAATCCCACAAAATGCACCCTTTACTCCTGCTTGAGTAATGGTTAGCAGTGCACAGCTACTCTAGAAAATGCATTAAGAACAGAAACGGAAAATATATGTTTTGTGAGCCTTCAATAGGATCAACTGTCACACACACAGAGTGCTGGTGACATTTCCAGTAGGTAAACAGACAGGATACTGACTTTCCACCTGACCTGCGAAGCTGCAATGACAGAGGTTTCAACCCTGTTGATCAGTATCTGTAGAAGAAAATGTGATTGATCCTCAGATCCGTCTGTCTCGCGGCCCGTGCTCTACGCTTCACTAAGCCCTGTGATCACTAACTCACACTCATATAAACACAGTGTGTGGCAGTTCACAGCTCAAAGGTTGTGACCCTTTTGGTTCCCCCTGATTGGTCACATGAGTGATGGTTCTACTGTGTGTCTGTGTACGAGCTTCTGTTTATATGTGTACATGTACTAAGAGTCCTCTGATAAGTGATGTTGAAATGTACACATTTATACCTCACTTGGAATATTTACCAGAAAGTGTACGTGTGTGAGTGTGTGTGTGTGTGTATGTGTGTGTGTGTGAAAGTGAAAACATCACACTTCCACTTGGTGGTTAATGGTGCCAAATACATCTCTGGGACTCTTTGGTCACCAAGTCTTATAACCATAAGTGTTAAAAACCCAGCTGATGAGGAAGTGACTCATTTCACCTGGAAGTTGACACCTGGTTTTCGACACTGATACAACTAAACACACACACACACACACACAGTGAGTAATATGTAATATAATGCTGCTCCTACCTGGTTTTCTTGGGAGTCTTGGCCTTGGGTGTGGAGCTCTTGGCTTTCTTCTCCTTGGGCTCCTTGGGCTCTTTGGGGGTCTTCGGTGTTTTGGGTGTTTTGGGCGTCTTCGGGGTCTTGGGCTCTTTGGGCTCCTTGCCCTCTGCCTTCTCCTTTGGTTTCTTTTTCCGCTTTTTCTTCTCCTCCACCGGCGGTGAACTTCCCTCTGCTGCTCCTGTGCCAGTAACCTGTTCACCTGCATCGCTTCCTATTCCGGGAAATTCGGACTTTATGTCTTCCTCTCCACTTTCCCTCACTGCCTTCTTCCCTCCCTCTTCTTCTTCTCCATCCCCTGCTTTAGCTTTCTTCTTCTTCTTCTTTTTTGGCTTGGTCTCCTGGTCGCTGGGCTTCTCTGTGCTGATAGGCTGGCCGGGGGCTCCGGTGCCGACCGTTGGCCTGTCAGGAACCATCATTGAGGCATCACCTGACGGGTCCGTGGGGGAATGCTGGAGGGTGAAGGAAAACTTTTGGTTATTCAAGTTATTTAGTTATTAAATTACAATGAATGTTACCAATATATATATATAAATCGTGCATCTTTCACATCTCCACATACAAAACTAACAGCCACTTGCAGCAGGAAAACATTTTTAACAAACAATCGAAAACACGTGTTGGTCAAGTAGCAGGACAGAAAGCACTAAATATACCAAACTGTGCTTTGTATTTCTATTTTAAGTAATTATAATGAAAATATCAGATAAAACAAGTAGTGTGATAGCATCTCCTTGGTGTCTGGGATTTTTTTTTTTTCAAATGTATAACTCTGTATAGTCAAACCATTAATTGGAAGAAAAATAATTTATCAGCAATTAAGATTAGCCTTTGTTGCAAACCTACATTACATTTGGGCTGTAAATAATGACTGTAGTTTGGCCTATGAAATCTGGTCTTGCAGACTTGCAGCCTGACGTGCACCTCCCAGAAATGTAATGCCAAAGCGAAACCGACCACAACAACTGGTCCACTCGGTAGTAAAATGATGTGTTTATAGAGCATATTGAGTTGTGCAAATCTAATTCTTCTTTAAAACAAATGTAACAGGGTATGATTGTATCCGGCTTGCTATGATGCAAATGCAATATCCATTATTTTGTCATGTGTAGTCATATGTGGTTTTCTCATTTTCATAGCTCTGCTAATCCGTGTGTAGGCTCAATCGGTTTCGATGTCCTCTCGCTTTCCTGCATTGAATTAATTTCAGTCAAAGTAACTGTTGTTCAACATTGACCAGCTTTAATTCCAACATGATCTGGTCTGCTTTTATGGCGCAATTGTTTTAAATACATGGAGAAATCCAGCAAAGCGGCTTAAATCAGTACCGCTAACTATCAGTTTGATGATATAAATGCAAGTATATAGGCTCTGAGTCTGAGTCTGGCACTTATGTAGGCTAAGACCTAAACAGAGTGGGGCACAATATATTTTAAGAACAATACAGGGGAAAATATATCATGACAACAAACAAGTATTTAAGCTGTAAATACTTGAATAAGAGAATGTCTTTTTTTTTTAATCACTGTTGCTAAAAAAAAATAAAAATCTAATGCTTGATGAACAATCAAACTTGCTCATGATTAATTTTCTAATAACTGACAGCTCAGTTAATTATTTCACCTTCAAAATAAATCACATAAAATATGGATCAGTCACATGTGCCATAAAATGTGTCCGCTGATGTTTTGCTTCAACACCGGTCCTCCTGTACCAGCCCTGTCAGTCAATACTGATACACTTTCTGCCGGGTGGGGGTTGAATCTGTCAGTAATGGCAGCAGACCACAGAGCAGAGGGAGAAGAAGGATCCATCCATCCATCCATGCATGTGCCTGGCTGCCACCTCCTCCCTCTCCTTGGCTCCCTGTTGCTACAGTTTCCGCCCCCCTCCTGCCTCCTCCTCCAGCAGACTAACCTTAGTAAACAAACTGGCTGGTACCTCATTTTTCCTCCTCCTTTGCTCTCCTGCAGACTTAAACCCTATCTCCTTGCTCCCTCCACCTCCTCCTCTTTGCTCCCAAGTAAGCTTTCTGTGACAGGAAACTGGTTACCAGCTGTTGGGAGCCTCTCCAGCTGCCTCTCCTCCCTCTCCCTCTCTTCCATCCCTACCTCCCTCCCCCTTTCTCTCTCTCCAGCTGCTCAGGGTCCCAGTAGCAGATGGGAAATCAGGCATCATGACACGAATAAATTATCTCCATACTTCAAAAAGGCGCAGCGAGGGAGTATGTGTGTGTGTGTCATACGAGAGCGAGAGCGACTATGCCTTTGAGAGTATGTGTGTGTGTGTGCATGTGTAACACACGTGTGCACTTTTGCGTGTGTCAATGAGTTGTGTGCGTGTGTGAGCATCAGCAAGTTTACAGCAAAACGCCACAGCAGCAGCTCCGTTCTGTGCGTACACACTTAGCAGAGCTCGTTCGCGTGGAGAAGGAAAGAGTTGGGGTGCTTTCACTGAAAGTCCACTTCCATCAGGAGAATGCTAATGCAACACACATAGCGACCGAACTGCTGCAAGGTCACACATCACACAAACCTCTGCACACGTGCACACAAACACCTGCTGACATACACGTAAACTGAGCCATTTAGACACACAAATAAGGGGGAGGAGGGGGTTCGAGAAGAGAGAGGGATAGAGAGACAGTCACAGAGAGACAGAGAGAGAGAGAGATGGCGAGGGGGATGCAGTGCCAAGAGATAAATCTGTCCTCCTGCCAAGCTTCCTAGATAATCAATCACGCCAATGACAATGGAGACACACACAGTGTGTACACAAACAATCGCACACACGCCTGAGTGCTGCGTCAGGTTTGGTGTTCTGCAGGGTGAATTTAGCTCGCTGCTGTGCTCACTTGTACTGGTTTAAATCCGGTTCCCCACCAACAATGGAAGATTTCATTGTTCTCTATTGAAGCACCTTTGACAACCAATTCCAAATGAGATTTAAATCAAACAAAATCAAATCATCCACAAAAGAATACCGACAAAATATCATTAAAGATTTGGAAGAGATGAAGAGTTTCATCTCTCATAAGTTAAGAGGAGGATGGAGGGGAGTGATGGTGGTGAAGAAGCCGATGGGAGGGAGGTGCAGCTGGAAGGAGAGCGACGTGAAGGGTTAAATCTACCAGGCAGAAACACTTAAGACTCCCCGAGGATGAAGCGAAAGGAAATCCTGTTCTCATCGTTCAGCTTCTCCCCTCGCTCTGTCCACCCATCCATCCAAAACTGACAGCTGCCATCTGCAGTGTGGATAGTCACACTCATCTACTGTATGAAGAGCCATCCAACAAGACCAGACCTGTTTGCTTTGACTTCGGCTCTGGTCCGTATTTGTTTTGCCACTTCCTACTGCATACACATTCTCATACAAGAGGCTGATTTGATAAGCATCTGATTCTAGTCATATTTAAGTGACAAACCATATGATGAATGGAAAAAATGTTTCAGTTCTGGCTGCCTATTTGTGATATTTTGTGACTCTCGGTTAAAAAAAAAAAAAAAAAGATCTGATTATTCTCTGTCTTATATCGTAGAAGCTGAAAGTTCACTCATTAGCATGCTGCCAGTAAATGCTTTGTAATGTCAGACGGACTTCCTCCCTTGAGTGAAATCATTTTTGCAGAGTGACGACTGTCCTTTGTGGAGCTTGGCTGCACTATTAAGCACTAGTTTTGGTCAGACATGTTTCACACCGAGGTAGACTGAAAAGCCATGTTTCCCCACAAATCCACAATTCTTATTTGAAAGGCATTCCAATTCCAAACTGGTTCTTGATACCCAGCCCAAGGTCAAGGTGTGATTAAAAATGCCTTCCATCTCTGCAAGTAATTATGGAGGGATTCATAAGAACACTGAGGTGGCATTTAAGCGCCAGAGCAAAAACATCTCATAATCCTCACCATAACTTCATGTCCACATTCATTTCTTAATATGCTTTTATTGATTGTTTTAGGCATTAGTAGTTGCCCATTAGCTGTCAAACAGAAGTTGGTTTTAACTTTGAACATCAAAGTAAAACTTTATTTAATAGGCATATAATTTATAGTGTGCTAGAAAAGCTGGTTAGGGTTTTGTATTTTGTTGTTCATGTAAGCAGTCCTGCAATGCATTCTGGTAACAGCAGGTTGTGTTTTGAGAGCTGGTGTTATCACGTTTGCTGCTCTTCATTTGCATAAAGTTGAGGTCTAGGCTACTTCATGCAAATCAGTCGAGCCGTCACTCGCCGCCTTCGGAAACTCCCAAAAAACTTAACAGGCTTCAAACTAAAATGAACAAAGGTCCAGCAGCTGCATTGCTCATTTCTCTCCTCAACCGTTTTCAGAAAATTGTTTTGTAAACTGATTTTATTAACTGAAACTTTCAAAATGAGCCGCCATGTTGGGCCAGTTTGAAATCTAGGAACAGACAGCGTACAAGTAAAGCGTTCGCCAGTGTTTGCACAGTTGTAGTAGGGTGTAGTCTGTATTGATTTAATGCTCATATCGTGATGCTGCCTCGTTGTATGCCTATCAAGCATCCACTGCTGGGAAGTGGCATAACCCCTCATGTCCAAAAACGCATCATAAGAGAAAAAAAAACACAGATCTTTGTGCAGGTAGCCAGTGCTCACTTTGAAAGCTCCAATCTCTTCAGGAATCAGCTAAAAATTCAAGCTACTGTTCTGACTGTGTCACTTGTCAATGATTAAAAGGGGAAAAAAATCTACATTGTGGTATCTACACATGGAAACTCCTCTTTGTTAGACACTAAAGATACCTCAGCCAGGTGAGGTGGGGGCTTTTTTTAAATCAAAAATGCAAAGAAGGAGTTGTCTGTCAGCCTCATCAGTCTATTAGAGTAAAACACATCAGCATTCAGAACAGGGGTGTAGCCTAACTGATGTGCACTGGAAATCCAGACGTGATTTTCACTTAATTTGCTCAACATCAGTTGTGATCATATTGTTCACATGGGTTAAACCTGAACTTTAAAGAAACCGAGAGAGAATCTGAAAAAAACATTTGTGCTAGTGTGTTTAATATGTGTGGATGCATTTCTCACACAATGCACACAACTAACGTGATGAATTCATGATTGAATATATTGAAGAAAACCGAGCAGTCTGTTATCTGGTGCCGAACGATTTGCATTTGTTGAAATCTGCACAAACATTAGAGAAGGCATTTCCTCAAAGCTATAGAACCTCTGTGAGCTTGATGGTATAGCAGCTCGCATGAGCACGGGGGGAGGGGCGAGACAGGCATGTTATATGTCAACTAGAGTGCTGCACGCAACGTAGTGTATGTGTGTGTGTGTGTGAGATGTAGAATAAAGGTCACAGCGCAGCACTCTGCCAGAGCTGTGACCTTGAGCTGCTGACGAAGGCACGCGTGCATGTGTGTGCGTGCATGTGTAATAACCATGCTTACTGAACAGATGGAGCTTAGAGTACCAGACATACAGTCATCATGACTGACTGACCTGCTTGGTGTGTGTGTGTGGCTCTTTCTAACAAGTGCATTATGAGGCGCACACAGACAGAACTCCCTTCCTGTGCCACAGACATACACACACCACTCTAAGTAGTCCTCTAGTTAAGCTATCCTATTTCCCAAGGCACATTCGCCACCCCATTTCTGACCACACTATCGGTGTATGTGTGTGTGTGTATAATGACGGGGGCTGCCGGGCCTGCAGCTAAAGTCGGGATGGCACATGCAGCGCACCCAGGCAAGGAACGGGGCTCACCAGTCAACCTGGCATCTAGGTCAGGAGTGCTGGATAAATTAAGTGTGACGGCTGAAATGTCAACCACAGAACACAGCGACGCAGGCTCGGAGGTGGGGAGTAGTAAGCGAGGGGAGGGGAGCAGTGTGAAGAGAAAAAGGGGACTAGATCTGTGGGTGTGTGGCCACAGGGCTGCTATTGTGTGTGAATGGGTCAGTGGAGAAAGGGGGCTTTGAGCAACAAAACAAGCTAATGGAAGGCGAGGGCACGTGACACAGGCAGCGGCGATGCTGCACGCTCACATACACACAAACATGGTGGTTGCCATTGAGAAGTGCTAACCTCTTCCCACCAGCCTCCCCCCCCGCCTCCTCTGCACTTCGCTTGAGATCCTGGACTCCCTCTCTTGAGATCTTTGCTTGTTTTCCCACTTCTTTACTCTTAGTGTGTCTCCCCTCCCCCAAACTCTTAATCACCCCCCAGCTTTTTGCTTTTTTCTCCTCCTCAGTTGTCTCCCTGTTCTCCAAACTGTCTCTCTGAACATCCGGCTACACAACATTAAGTTAGTGATGACACCCCTGAAATGGATAAGACAAACAGCGAGACAGACAGACAGACAGACAGACAGACAAGCAGAGAGAGAGAGAGCGGAAAGAGAGGAGACGGGGAGGAGGGAGGGACAGGAAGGGAGGTTTCCTCTACAGAGGAGGGGGAGAGTGGGAGCAAGAGGGAGGAGAGATTATGCTGGTGGCGCCTCTGTACATGTGTGCACGTGTGCGTGCATGCGTGTGACTGTGTGTTTGTGTGTATGTGTTGCACACGTGTCTCAGGATATGCAGTTCACAGGAAACAAACAGCTGCAAAAATCCATTTCCCCGCACACACACACACACACACGGAAATACAAGCACACACACGGCCCACAAAAGGCAAAAGAACACACTGATATGAACAAACGCACACACAAAACCCCACTGAACCAGTGCCCAATGCACCGCTGTGTTCTCAAATGTCATGAACACACACACTTATGCACACACACACACCACACACTTCCCTTGCACTCCAAACACACACATTCCCCCACCCACATGAAAAATAAACATTCACATGAAATACACCCACACATGAAAACAAATGCACATAGTCTTGATCTCTCTCACACTCACACACACACAGCGCTGATACCACATCAAAGAGTTTGTTTGACGGAGACTCACCTGTATGTGAGGCACTTTCTGTGGGGTAAGAGGGGGTGAGGAGAGTGGGTGGGAGGTGGCGGGCGGAGGTGCCCATGGGTGAGAGACCTGGTTGGAGGGAGGGGGCGTGCTCTGCAGGTGGTGGGGGTGTGGGGGCAGATGTGCGTGCTGCGTCTGAGCGCTCTGGCCCTGTGGAGCTAAGCCCTGGTTCTGGGCCGGCGCTCCATGCTGACCAACGGGCGGACCCTGGAAACCCATGGGAGCAGGCTGCAAGGGCTGCCCGCTTCGAGAGGCCTGCTGCTGGGCCTGGAGCAGACGCTGGTCTCCCCCCTGACTGACTGGAGCTTCGTGAGGCCCTGGGAGAAGAGACGGGAGCGTATCATTACTAACTGTACAATGTGTTGTACCCACCGTCCACCACGAAGATATTTAAATTTAGCCAGGACACAACATTTGGTGGTCACCAAATCTAGTAAAAATGTCTAGTATGACAGTAAGATACACTAGCTGGCTGCAGCATGATTACTTTAAGATTATTACCAGACATTATAAGATTATTATAGTTCTACAGGTATTAGACAGTGTAATTACAACTAAGTTCAGAGCAAAAACAAAACAAACAAAAGCAACTTGAGTTCAATTGAAGCTTGCTCAAATACACTGGCTAATATGTAGAAAAAAAATTGCAGCCTAACAGACCATGGAAAAAGTTGGATGTAGAAGTTTCTGAACTGCTTCTTATACTGTTCATGGGAGGCTACATCATCCGACCCTGTGACCTGACCTCTCTGAGAATGTGAGAATATGTTTTTCTTCTTCAAATATGTATAATGCTCATAAATATTCCCTTACTCTCTTTTTACTTCCACTGCTGTAACAGCAACAGTGTAAAGACGACTTCACATCGGAAGCGACATGGTGTCATGTTCACAACCATCTGTCTTATCCAAAGTAACTCTACCAGCTCTGCTCTGTATTTAGATACTACATGCAGGGTATTAACAACAAATGTCAAGAAATCCATCCTCTATTTTTTTTTCAATACTAGAATTGGTCTAACTTTCCATTTCTGTGTTATTTTGTATATGTTTGTGTTAAAAATGTAATTTTTCCTTTAATGGGTGTCAATAAAGTGATCAAAATGAAACCTGGACCAAAAAAAAAAAAAAAACACAGCAGGGGAATGACTGTCTGCTGCTTACCTTGCTGTTGCTGGAGCTGAGGCCTGTTTGGTCCCATTTGTGGACCACGCTGCGGCCCCATACCAGGATACATCTGCCCTGCATTTGGAGGCATGTTGTGGGTCTGCTGGTGTTGGGGGTGTGGGGCAGAGAGAGGGGTCTGGGGAGTTCTCTGTGGATGGGCCATAGCATTGGGTGGAGACTGCAGGGCAGTGTATCCTGCAACCTCTGGGGGCCCAGCTAGTCCTGCGCTAGGGGGTCTGCCCTGTTGTGGAGGAGGGGTTGGTGTTCCCAAAACCCGCATGGGGGACATGGATGAAGGGGAGGGGTAAGATCCCTGAGCTGGGGGGGCAAGGTGGGACTGGGCTTGGTTTTGGGGCTGGGGCAGATTCTGAGGGTGCTGGGGGTGGTTTAGGGGGTGCATAGGCTGGCTCTGCTGCCCTGCCTGCTGCTGCATCGGGGCAGAATGGGTCTGAAGGGGTTGGGTTTGGTGTGGCGGTCCAGGGGGGTATCGCTGCCCCTGTTGCCCCGGTGCTGTTCCTGATCCCTGGGTAAACCTCTGGCCAAGCTGCCCTGGTCCCATGGCCTGGCTGGTGTTAGCATTGACATTAGCATTAGCACCCTGGCCCATCCCGGGTCCCATGGCTCCATATTGGGCCTGATAGCCAGAATACTGAGCACCCCCAAATCCCCCCATGCCCTGTTGGTGCTGGTGGGGGTGTGGAGGCTGTCGAGAGGGGGAGTGTGGGTATCGGGGTGTGTGGCCCATGTTGGGGTAACCCTGGGGCTGTTGCTGAGGCTGAGGGTGTCTCATCTGGGTCCCCGTCATTCCAACGTGTCCCAAGTAGTGAGATGGGTCCTGAGCAGGAGGGGGCGCCATGCTCTGTGGAGGGTAGTGTTGGTTCATGCGAGCTGCATTGGATGTAGGTGGACCTTGCATCCCACCATAGTTGCCTTGAGACATCTGGTAGCCTCCCATCTGGTTGGGGGCGCCCCCTGGTTGTGCCGGAGCCTGCTGATAAGCTGATCTGTTCTGCTGTTGCTGGCCCCAAACTCCACCCCCACCTCCTCCTCCCCCAGCATCACCCTGGTACCCATGGTGGGGGTTGCTAGAGTTAGCTGGGTTATTATGGTAGTGGGAGGCCATGCCATTCATGGCCGTGTTCACATTTGGCGGCCCCTGGCTGGGTCCGTTCTGGGCCATCATCCGTCCTCCGGGGGCACCAGACTGATCATAGCCTGTGTAGGGGCCGTGGTCGTACATTTGCCCCATTTTCGCCTGCCCTGGGCTAGGCCCAGCACCATGGATCATCCCCTGGTGGTAACCCCTATTTCCCTGGTGCTCATGGTTCAGAGAGGGATTAGTCTGCTGGGCTAAAGGGTTGGACTGGCCAGGGGCTGGCTGCTGAGGAAAGCAGTCTCCTAAACCATCTAATCCATCTGAGAACAGCCCTGCATCGTCCCCGAATAAGCTCAACATCCCTGGGTCCGCCATGGCTGGGTGGGGGGCCCACAGATGGAGGGGACTGGATGGAGGGAGGTGTGTTGTGCAGTGAGGAGCTAATCAGATAGCTGCTAATTTGAAGCTTTCTACTCCATGGTCCTCATTAAGGTTCCTGGAGGGACAGGGAGAGGGTGGGGAAGATGAGGAAGAGAATAAGAAGAGAAAAAAAACACTGGAGTTAGTGCAGGTGTTCATAAGGGCTGCTGTATGCTTCAAATCAAGTGATTGATTATCATTTCTGCAGCTTGAAATTTCTCTAACTTTCCATAACTGTCAACTAATGACTTCACAGATGCAGCCTGTATTGCTAATTTGAAAGCATTTAGTCTTCATGTGTTGTTTATGAATAAATTGTAATAAAAAAAAGGTAAATCTGCTACAACAACATGACTGCTCCAGTTTACCTACTGGGATAATGATGGGATGCAGATGACTGAAACTGGCATATACGGTGCCATGACACTTAACACAAAACACAGTACTTATTGTTGTTGTACATGATCCTCGTGAATATTACTGGTGATGTTTTAACTGTGATGCAGTTTTCATACAGGGGGCAATGCAAACACCTTTTCCCAGTAAGTTCTGACACAGCATCAGCTGATTAGTCTCTGAACAGCATAAAACATGTTCAATTTCAACTGACAAGAAAGAATTAATTACAACCTCCCCGATTTAAACAATTCCTGAAGAGTTCTCTCAAAGTTCAGTTTGTTTCTTCTAATTCTTCTAGTTTACTTCAATGGTTGGCAAAAAAAAAGCATTTCCAGCTTGTTCTATGCAGTTTATTACAGCCATGCAACATATCGTCACCCTCTGACAACACTGCACACCCTAGTTTCTTTGCTCCAAAGAAGTAAGCACTGACAAGCCTAATTCACATTATTTAATTCACATTTTTGTGTCATTTCTAACGTTTGCTTCAAATTCCTTTGACAGTTATCTGGACACACGGCTGTTGGTGAGACCAACATTTCATGTGGATAAATCGAGTCCATAAGCTCGTGGCTGTGCTTTGTAATAAAGACGATAAGACGTAGTTTCTCCAAAGCACTTTGCTCTCTTCAGATATATCGTCCAAACTAATGTGTTGGAACATTTAAGCAGCCCTATTAGCTGTTGGACAGAGGTGCACCAGATTAACTGGCAAATTTAGCAACTTACTCAGTTGTAACCACCAAGAAATTAAACACACCCCAGATGGAAAAAAAACTTATTTGCACTCACACACTCCCAAACACACACACACACTTCACATTAGCACTCCCCCCAAACCCTCCCCCGACCTCCATTTTACTTCCAAACAAAAGAACTTCTTTCTTTTCCAACACACACTTGGAGTCATTGAGTGAGTGTGAGTCTGTGTGTGTGTGTGTGTGTACGAGTGTGTGTTAGAACAAAGGGCCCAGCAGATGCAACTCTGTTTGAACAGCAGCAGCTGCCATCCAGCCAGCTAGAAATCAGCCAGCCAACAGGCCGGAGAACCTTTCCCTACACCAGCCAGTCAGCGGTTAGCCACTCAGTCAGCAACCCATTCAGGTGGCCGGCTAACCAGTCACTCCCAGCAGATGTTTCAAGACAAGGGAATTAGCCACCTGCTACATTTTTAGCCTCCATCTCTGTATCCGTCTCCCTGGGTGCTAAAAGCTAAAAAATACAAATAGGAAGCTTACTTTCTGATGAACAACATAAAAAAAAAACCCAATAAAGTGACTATAATTTTCACATTGCGTGGCCGATGCAGCGGTGGATCTTAGCATGCATGAATGAGCGGGTGTGGTGGAGACCGGGACATGGAGGAGGTGGGGGATGTTTGCTTGTTGCTTCTATGCACTGCAAAAACAACACCCAAGCCAACTTGTACCGCTACAGCGTTCCCCTCCCCCCCTTCACCTCATTTCTTCCCTCCCCTACACTCCAGTCCTCCCTCCTACCATTTTTCCTCAGCCACTTATTGGTTCATTACAGAGCTCGGCAGGTATCGGGGATAAAATGCTTCATAATTTCCCCTCACACAGAACAGTGTGCAAGCAACGGTAAGTTTCCCTTTTTAATATTTCGTGCCATTAAGCTAAAGTGTGCCCCCACAATTACTTAATCCATCCACTCATTACATTTAAAAAGTCATAGCAGCAGCAGCAGCAGCAGGAACTGAAGTTCTAAGCAGGTTTAGAGGAGCACCTCTGGTGGCAGGCTAACAGCTGGGTGTGAGCGTACAGCCTTTCCCAGCATGCACTGGGCAGGAGGTGGGGTGCATCCTGGACAGCTCACGTGTCTATCACCAAGCTATGAGTCTGCATTTGGTAGAGTCTGCCTGGCAGCATTGTTACTGCGAGTGTTTGTCAGAATTACGACCATACTTCACATAAAACCTGCTGCTTCCTGTCACAGGGCAGATGTTTTCTCTTCAGCTTTACTCAACAGGATAAAACTGTTAGAACTGATTGGTCCACCAGCCTCTCATTCCTTCCACCATCTGCTAATGCCAGAAACTCTGAACGCTGTAAAATATCCCCTGCTCTTCTCAGTAATCCAGACAACACACTGTAAACCAATTTGAAAGTATCATTTTCAAATGGACAGTGAGTAATTTAACCTCTTTTAGCAACAAAAAATATCTGAGATCAACTCATTTCAGTTATTTGTGACCCAAAGATGAAAAATGATGCTTTTCCTGCATAAAAGTCCTTAATATTGGTCAGCATTCTAAGGAGCATTCAAGGCAGTCTGATGTCAAATATAAAATTCCTTCGTTCAGAATGTGGACAGACTGACACAACTTGAGTCAAGCTGTCCAACTTAGGTCAAATCAAGAGGAGCTGCATGCCCACCTTATAATAAAGTGTTCTGTTTTATTGTGTATATTTGCAGCTACTGTGCACAAAAAAAAGTTATCGCAGCAGAGTTAGCGAGCAGGACATTAGTATGTTTTCTGTACTCTTTGGACAGCCTACCAATATTAAGGACTCCAGTTAGGTCTGAACAATTAACTGATTTCAAATCAAACTTAGACAGAAAGTAATGAGAAAAATGCCAAAAACTGCAATTTAGCATGTGTGTTATGGAGCGCCTGAGCCAGGGTTTTGTTTCAGCAATAATTTTACAAACTCATGCCACCCTCTGTGGGACAGTCACACTATCCTGTGGTAAATCTTTATCAGGTTTGAAATATTTTATGAATTGAGTGTTAAACTAAAGCCTGATTTCTTTTTTTTAAAAATACATTGCAATTAAACAATTTCCCCAAAGCGTTCAGCTCTACCTCAATCAATAAGAGGTGGGACAGTCTTTTTTTTCCGTCCTATCTTTACTGGCTACTAGCAGAATTCTGAAAGACCACCTGATTTAGTATTTTCCTCACAAATATTATTGTTCTTGATCCAGCGCAGCACTCACTTTTTGTTCCTCTTGACATTCATAAAGGCCCCTTTACTGTGTGACCACCACACCTATTGTTCAATGTCTAGTTCCTGGGTGATAACACTGAAAGTCAGTAGAAAGCCAACAGTCAACATTAGCAAGACACAGGAATACAGTACAAAAGCCTTCCTTCAGGCCTTTAAGCCTTTCTGCTGGAAGCCTCCACAATGCCTGAGGGGAGCATCCACTCTTGTTGTGTAAATAGCATTAACAAGTCCTGTTCTCCATGTCTTTCTGAACCATAAACAAGCTGCCAACACACACAGTATTTTTTACTATATTATGATCCACAACAGGCACAGGGGATGCGAGACACGTACATGTATCTCTACATTTCTTTGTTGCTCTTACAAGTCAACAGTGGTACAAAGGCCCAGCTGTCTTTTATAAGCACTCATCTTTTGTATACATGCAACGTGGTATAACTAAGTATGCTAATGGTTAACATAGCATGTAGGTCAAGCAGAGCAATACCGCTGGATTCTCCACAGCAGCTGGCTAACTACAGGACCAGAGCAACAGCCATGGAGCAATAATTAAATGAATAATTACCTTAATCACCAATTAAATCGCTAATTGGTCTGTACATCTAGAGCATGAATACACCACCAGGCAATGCAACATTTGGACTTTCAAATCACAACACGCAAATTTAATTTACAAGGGTGACAGTTCAGCTGAATGAATACTCCCTTTATGCTACCAGCACTGCAACTAATTCTGCCTCATCTGTGTCCGCACATTAAATCAAGCATCTTGAAAAGTTCTAAACAAGTTGTACAAATGACAGAGTTGTCAGATCACATGACTAACACTGTGTTAGAGGCGAAGAAGTAAAAATATACTTAAGCTGTATCAGTGGGAGACTGAAAATAGTTTTACAATGCAGACAAAAGCTTTAAATCCTTGACCACATTTGAAAATCCCTGACAATTGTGAGGAGCAACGATTCAGAGTGAACCTTTAAGTACACACCGTCACCAACAGTTCAAATACAAAAAGGTTATCAGCCTCCACTTGTAATGTTAAATGGAGAAAATGTGGACCTTGGCATCAATCTGAGACCTATGAGAGAAGCCTCTCTTCCATAAAGGAGTAAATACACCAATACAAGCTCCTTACTTGGTCAGCTGATCACCTGTGCTTTTGTGCTAGTTCCAGTTTGGTGTAAACATCAAACAAAGGCAATGACGGATGATAGTGATGCAGACAGAAGATCAGGAGCCTCAATCTCCGTGTCCGGGAGTTAACAGGCCGAGTCAAAGAGCATGTTATTTAAAGAATATTCAACAAAAAGGGCCGCAGCGAGTAATCACTTCATTTTTTGATGTGTTTTTTTCCCCCCAAAATCACTGAGGCTAGAAAATAGTCACTTTCCAAGAGGCTAAAATAAAAATTTTAAATTGCTGGTTTTGTCATATCAACAGACAGAATCACAAATATGTTCCATTTAGAATGGTGTAAAAAAGCAGATCTTTGGCAGTCCTATTTTCATTTATTAATTCATAGTAATATAACAGCTCAGCAAAAACAGGCTGTACACAGTTAAAGCACGTCAACAGCTGTTCAAAACCTGTTAGAAAACCTGTGTTCAGCTACTAGATTACGGTGCGAACAGCAGCGATGAAGCGCTGTTTTCGTGCATTTCAATCACTACAGGAAGGAAAAAGTTTAGCACGTGTTTGTGTGTGT